CCTGTAATGCCTTTAAAAGTAATGTTTGGGGGGATGTGGTTGTCACTAAGACAGGAAGGCACAGACAGCAATAAAAACTTTTTCAGACATTCTAAGTGTTCCCTACCTAATGGAAAATGTGTTTATGATTTTGACTGTGAACCCATTGGACAGATTTTGTTTCACGTCCTGTCCCTAGAGAAAGTGAGGGGAAATCTTACCAAGGGGACACAGGCAGCAAAAAACAGTCCTCAAACAGTTTCACAAATAACAAAACAAAAAAAAAAAGCCTGAAGTTGGCCTTTAAATTGTACCTGCCAGCTTACAGCAGTATTAAAACAAAAAAAATGTTTAGTATATTGTAGCTTTCCAACACTTAAATGTGGTGGCTGCATTAGTTTTCTTTTTCTAGATTTTTTTTCCTTTATTTCTGTTGATCTGCCCAGAAACACACTTCTTGTCTTAGGGTTCCCCACTTCAATGGAGGAACTACGGAGACATCAGTCTGGGGAGAGGGTAATGATAAAAACACTGGCAGATTTAGATAGACTTGACTAAGAAATTAAAGCTGAATTTTAAGCAGTTACAGCAGCATTTACTTAAAAATAAAGCAAGAATAAGGGAAACAGCCATGACACCTGTACCTTAAAAAGGCAGCACTGATTGGTCTAGTATTTCTGTCCCAATATTTTTCTAACCACTTGAAGACCAGGCCTTTTCTGCCACTTTTTGTCTACAATGTAACAATCAGTATTTTTTACTATCAAATTTTTTAGCACCCCCAAGCATTATATATTGTTAAAAGCAGAGGCCCTAGAGAATAAATTGGTGGGTGCTGTAATGTTTTTATGTCACACAGTATTTGCGCAGCAGTTTTTCAAATGCATTTTTTCGGAAAAAATACTTTTGTAAATTTTATTGCAAAAAACACAATATATAACCCAATTGTTTGGTAAAATATAAAAGATGATGTTACGAGGAGTAAATAAATACCAAATATGTCATGCTTTAAATTTGTACACGCTATCCATAGCGGACTCTTTAAAAGGCTTTACAGGTTACCACTTTAGATTTACACAGGAGGTCTGGTGCTAGAATTACTGCTCCCGACCTGATGTTCGCTGTGATACCTTACATGTGTTGGACGACCCCTGCTTGTGTGCATGCAGGACTGACAAGTACAGTCGCATTTGTACACGGGCACAGGGGCACTTTGCATTTTTTTATTTTTTTAGACTGTTGCTTTTTTATCACTTTTGTTGCTGTCACAAGCAATGTAAACATGCCTTGTGACAGCAATAGGCATGTGACAGGTACTCTTTATGGAGAGATCTGGGGTCAATAACACTGATCACAAAATCATTTGATCGCACCAGTTCGCATCAGTGTGATCAAATTCTTTTTAAAAAAGGAGCTGTTTACATCCATGTAAACCAGAAGTCATGCAAGGTCATCTCTTCCATTTCCCTATATCTTAGAGCCGAATGTAACAGCGCAGCTGTTTGTACTGCTCTATGATCAGCCAGAGAAAGTGTCTGATCAGCCAAAGAAAGTGTCGGCTGGTTGATCTGTCATTCTGGTGGGACAGCCCGTTAAAGCCATAGAAGGCAGTGGGAGGGAAGACGTCTCCTCCCGCTGCTTGTAATAGCAATCCAGTAGCTAGTTAGCCACTCATATTGCTCTTACAAGAGAGCAGACCTTTGGTTCTAAAAAACGGTACCAGGATGATGCCTGCAGCTGTGGGTATCATCCCGGTATAACCACTTGAAGTCTACTGCTACAGGTATAAAGATCAGGTACCTATAGGTCCCTGCACGTATTTACAGCAGCCTCCTAAGATCTTGTGAAATGGCTGAATTTCATACCGTTCTGAAAAGCGGCACTTTCTTGCCACTTGGCCTCACCCCACATATTCGTATTGTTTTATCACTATGGGCAGCATCACCTGCCAGAAAAAAATCTGCAGGGACAGAAAGGGGGTGGGAAACCTTAGGCACCATCAAGAAGTACTGAAGCCTTGGCTGCCCCTAGATTTGGCCATGACATGAAGGATTTGGAGGTTGCTGCATGTATGTACATCTCTGGGTGTTTGTTCTTAATACCTACAACATTTTTGCTCCCCTGACAGGGTCTGCTTAAAGATTGAAAACATCAGACACAACTTCCATTTTCCAACTCATTCTGTACTCCCAGATCTTTACCATCACCCTGGCTTTTCAGCTCACACATCTTGATCTTTCTTCTCTACTTTTCCCACCTTGCCACCTGCAATGCTGATTTCATTCCATCTCATTTTGCTCATATTTAAAATAGCTCTCTTAGCATTTAAAGCATATCTAAAGATAGAACCTTTTTCATATTGAGTAGAGTATGGAAGTGTTAACACCCCTGTCAGTTTTTTCTAACCATCCATAGACATGACAGGAAGAGAGAGTAAATCTCATTAATGGCAGCCATACATGATGCTATACAACTGAACAAATTATGTTTGATTCGGAACATTTCAGTACATGCACACTACCTTCACATGAAGTTCTGTATTTGCACTCTCTTGTAATGTATACATTACGTGTGCTTGTATTTTTTTTCTTGAAAACCCAATAAAAATTATTGAACTATAAAAACATTGTTGAAGGTTCAAGTTACCTAATTATAAGTGTTGATTGCTCTTTCATTTACTTCTAAAGTTTCCAAAATTCTATAAATAAAACATTCTGCTTCTGAAGATAACCTTAATCTGTGGATCTGTGCTTTGCCTATGCAGGATAAATCACTAGATTGACTTAAATGCAGACCTTCACAGACACATATACCTAAATTCCTTTCCCTACCCTGCTGCTCCATTCATCCAGCAGTAGTAAAAGGAGAGCCTTCTGCAAGCTACAAGTCAACAGAATATTTGCTTACACAGGGTTATAGACATGACAATGCTGATTGGCCTGGTGCTGTTACATGCTCCCCCTGATGAGAATGCTAGTATTTTTCTACATGAGTGTTCCTCTATACATATTTGCTTTACATTTATCAGCTCACGGGGAAAAATCAATTTAACCTCTAATAATATGCCTAACTCCAAGCTATAGTGTCCTGAAATGTTATTCTTGCAAGCCAGCCTTAGCTATTACCAAATGTCATCTTGTCTTACCTGAAGACAACAGAAGTACATTTCTGATTTTGAGAGGTGACTGATGTTCTGTCCATTTATTACAGTGCCTAGAAGGACTGTCTGCTGTGTTTTTGTAACAGTCAGTCAGAAAAATGAAAGGAATAATCCAACTAGTTGCTCTAGGCAACAAACACAGTTCTTTCAGGTATATGAAGCTGATTCTAATCAATTTCTAATAATTCCCCAAGTTGTAAACCTGTGGCCTGGTTATAGGCAGCCAAGTATTTACACAATCTTAACAAACAGTAATTCAGCTTCACAAAAGAACTGGGAATACAGCTATTACTATACTTCCGACACTTCTGTGCTGGACCTTAGGATCCCAGATCTTGCAGCTGCAGTCTGTGTAAGCCCTCCTCTGATATTGCCCAGTTATGGAATGTGATGTATTATCTGACTCTATTCTCAAAATGCAAAGTCTTCTGTAAATGGACATTAAAGGGGAAGGGTTGGTAGAGTGGCTGCTGTCCAGCAAAGCACATCTCTCCTGTTTGAGTGCCAGAAGTATAGTGACAGCTATACTCCCAGCGCTCAGTAAAATGTAAACAGTAAATTGAATAAAGAAGTCCACAAGGTGTCATGTGCCATGTTGGTTTTACCCATTAAATGCTGGCACATTTTAAACAGTGACTGAATTCCTGGAGTTCCCTTTAAACCAAGTCCTCTCTGACATCTGTAGCTGCATTCACAGTGCAGTAATTTGTTCTTTTAGTTCAAAGCAGAAGCACTGAAGTTGTTCTCTTAACAGTTTAGCTTCTCCTCCCAGCAGTGACTGGGCAGCCTTCCAATCTTCCAAGGAGGGGGGGGGGGTTGCAGGGTAGGCTGAGCTACTTGAGAGAACATCCTGAAGACTTCAAAGCTTCTGATATTAAATTTGAGAATGGATTGCTCCACAGTGTCTGCATCTACAGAGATCAGCAAGAGCTAGTTTTAAATTTCATTTGTGGCTTGTTAAAGAGGAAATAAATGTGGTAAAGATTAACTTTGTTTTTTTTTATATTCCTTGCACCTGATTGGGTAATTCTTTACAAACAGCATTTTTGCTTGCACATGATTGGATTCTGGAAATCAACATTCACTAAGCTGTGGGGAAGATATGTGCAACTGCACTTGAAAAATGCACAGTCTACTTGCCTTTAGTAAATCCACCCCTCATACCTGTTTTGGGTCAGTGACTCAAGGATTTGAAGCAATAGAGTTTGTATGACAGCCATTCAACTAGCTATTTCAGCGATGGGTTTGTTATATGTTTCTTATAGGAAAACATTAGAATGGCAGGAAATATTTAAAACAGTCTGTAAAAATGATTTGTAAACTAGCTAGCTTCTAAATATTTTTATAAACGAGAAAATGTATGAATATAATTTTGCACAATTATGCTAGTTACATCAAGACTTTTTTTTTTATTTTCCGATTTCTCCGTTTACTGTCTTCATTTTGTTGGGAAAGCCTGACAAAACAAAGCTGGAATGCTTGCTATTAGCAGAAGTGTGAAATGTGGACAATAACAAATGCAGCAAGAAGTGGAACATGAACCTCCTCCAGAGGACAAAGGGTCAGGCTTTTCTACACAGTGAGACATTAATGTTTGGATACTGTACAATAAATTCCCGCACATAAACCTTCAGTTTTTAAATCTAGCTATTTTAACAACTACACTTATAGAACAGATATAACAATATTACTTATTTACAGCTTCAGAGGGCTCCCTAATAAAACAGCTGGGCTATTTTATTAAGAAATAAAAAGACGTTCAGTTCATAAAAAAGGGATGCACGTTCCTGACCAGCACTGTGTGAAACTATATTTTGATATAAAAGCCTGTGTAAAAAAACTATTAAAATATTTACAGTACCTTTGGCATTGGGAACTGGCATGCACCTGAGCAATAATATGCATCAAAGGATTTAGGAGAAATTATCCATTCGCTCCAGCCGATGTCTGCAAAGTCTACTTTAAGATAACGCCGAGCACAGTTCCGTGGCTCATTCCACTGCTTTCTTCGAGCTTTTTTCAGGGTGTGTTCATCAAACTGCAATGTCTGGCCTTTCTGCCGTCCACTCTTCCTTAGCTTTTTCTTAGATTTCTCCTTCTCAGCTGGCCGTACTTGAAGAGTTTTGTAAGGTTTCTTCTCCACCCATCTCTCTTCATCTTCATTGTACTGATACTCAGCTCCTGGTAGCTCATTGTTTTGTAATGGCAACAAAATATCAGTTGACCGTCTACTCCTGTGATCAATATGTCCTTCCTTCCTTTGTTTTTTATGAACTATACTAGCACGTTGTCCATGCAAGTTGGAAACCACACTGTCAGGCTCAGATATAGCGGAATCATTGGCATAAACCAGGATATAAGGCTTAAGTCCTAGTAGCTGTTTCCTTCGTTTATTTGCGCTATCGACTGTCACATTGATTGCAATGAGGGCCTCTCCATGTTGTTTGGCTTCACGCATGACTTGAGTGATATCCTTCCAATGCCAAGATGGAACGTCTCGGTAGGTTGTAGAAATATTTATAAGAAAATTCCCCAAAATTCTTGTTTGGTTCTCAAGAGAAGTTAAACTGGACACTTTCAGATCTATGGATAGTTCAGGTTTTCTGTGTCCACGCCTGGAGCAAGATGATGAATGTATACATCTCTGACTGATGTTTAAAATATCTCCAAGATAATAATGAAATGTAGCTGACAATATATTTTCTGAAGATGTTAGTGATGTTAAATTGAAAATATGCTGATTATTATCTTCAAAGTTACCTGGGGGAAAAAAAGACAAATAAGAAAAATACAAATTAATTTGTTTAATTGAAACCTCATTCAATTACAATGGTTTGGTAGAACTTGATATAATGTCAAAAGGCAAAGTGTCTATATGGTACAGCTACCACTGAACTGCAAAGCTGAATGTGTCCATGCTGGGACACATCCGAAGGATCCCAATCACCTCAGCTATTCCAGCAAGTGATCCCTGGTCTCTGCAAATACGTATGCATCTTTAAGATGGTCATGTGCCTTACATCATCAGAGCAAGTAAAATTGTGTAATTGCCACCCAAAGTTTACACTGAGCATTCCATGTTATACCATGATGAATCAATTACAGCTGTTTCTGGTATAATGTACTATTACAAGCAGAAAATGTATTTAAAAAAAGGATTTATCACTACTAGCCTGTTTTTTAGCTAAATATTTAGAGGGCTGAAGCAATATTCAGAATGCAACATAATTCAGTTTTCCATTAGTTTACTTACACATGCATATATTTACAATGCATAATGTGAACCTGTGGCGAGGCTATGCAAATAAAAATATTTATGCATTCAAAATATAACCCTGTGAGTTCTGTAGCAAAATCCAAAATGAAGCTTCCTGCATCAGAAGTAGCATTATATCCTTCCATTTTTGTGTTGCAGCCTCTATCAGACTGTTTAGCATTCAATACTTTTGAAAATGCCAGATGCATATGTCATCTGGCCAAACACTATGGTTTCATCTTCTAACTCCAAAGGCACCTAAAATGATACTACTTTATTGTTGGAGAATGGGTTTACAATAAACCATCTGTTAATAGCTGCCAGTGGCTCCAAATGTCTACTCTGCACTCACCTTCCTTGAAAGTTTTCCCTGCCATAACCAATAGTTCCCTTTACCCCAGTAAATTGGTCCTGATTGCCACATGTAACTTGGACATCTATCACCATAGCATCCACAAGTTTCCTAGTTTACACACCCACTGTTGCCCTCCTCAGCAAAGCAATACATCCCATGAACTCCAAAACTAAAGAAGGCCATTCAATTTTACATACACTTTATAGAATTTCAGGATTTTTTCCCCTATGCAGTGAGGCTGTTAACTGCTTGTTTTTGTCTGAGGAGAGTGGAGATATACTTACCTAATACGCTGATCCTCTGGGCGCAAGACTGGTCCCTGCCGCTCCTGACCCCTCACATGCCAGTTGTGTAGTGGACTGTTCCTGATGTCATCACGCTCATAGACCAGCTCTAGATGTGAGGACAGCAGGAATAGTCAACTGCTAGATGTGGGGGAGTGATGTTTTACAGAGGATCAAAGGATCGGGTGAGTATAGCCTTTCTGTGTGCCTCTGGACAAAACCAGCAGTTAACCCATGAAGTGCGGGCACAGCCTCACAGCATGGGGGGAAAAAAATTCCTGGAGTTCTGCTTTAACTGACTCCCACCCGTCATATAAGGAAATGATGGGAGGGTGGCGGTTCTCTCGTTCTGGGAGGAGGTCATATGACGTCCTCCCCCTCTAGCTGCGCACGTGCTCCCCCGGGGGGCGACGTGGTGAATGGTGGTGCGCTGTATCCCTAGGATACAGCAGATAACCAATCGCAGTAACGAGCCGATGATGTAGGCTCTATCATGTGATCAGCTGTGTCCAATCACAGTTGATTGCATGTACAGTTGTGTCCAAAATTATTCAACCCCCAATGCTGTAAAGGGGTTTAGGGACTATAGTGTACATTTGGAATTGTATTCAGAATCAAATCCTACAAGGACGTTGTAACTACCCAAATGCAACTAAAATGACATCAATTGTTTATGTAATACAGTAGTAAATGGTTCTTATGTGGTTTCTTCATTGCCACAATTATTCAACCCCTTAAAGACTACCACTCTGAAGAACAGAGGTTCATACAGGTGCTTTCCATCAGGTATTGAAAACACCTGTGGATGTCACCAGAGCAGCAATCAAGCATAATAAGCACCAATTAGGCAGCTTTAAAATGACTGTGATACTCAGCTCCTTCTAGACATTTACTGGTGTGGTTACAAACATGGTGAAGGCAAGAGAATGGTCCAGGAAGACAAGAGAAGAGGTGATTTCTCTTCACAGGAAGGGCAATGGCTATAAGAAGATTGCAAAGATGTTAAACATACCAAGAGACACCTTAGGAAGCATCATTCGCAAATTCAAGGCAAAGGGCACTGTTGAAACGCTACCTGGTCGTGGCAGAAAGAAGATGCTGACTTCGACTGCTGTGCGCTACCTGAAGCGTAGAGTGGAGAGAAGTCCCCGTGTGACTGCTGAGGAACTGAGAAAAGATTTGTCAGATGTGGGTACAGAAGTTTCAGCCCAGACAATAAGACGCACACTGCGTAATGAAGGCCTCCGTGCCAGAACTCCCCAGGCGCCCCCTTGCTGTCTCCAAAGAATAAGAAGAGTCGACTGCAGTATGCCAAAAGCCATGTGGACAAACCACAAAAGTTGTGGGATAGTGTTCTGTGGACATGAAACAAAATTAGAACTGTTTGGGCCCATGGATCAACGCTATGTTTGGAGGAGGAAGAACAAGGCCTATGATGAAAAGAACACCTTGCCTACTGTGAAGCATGGTGGAGGGTCAATCATGCTTTGGGGCTGTTTTGCTTCTGCAGGTACAGGGAAGCTTCAGCGTGTGCAAGGTACCATGAATTCTCTTCAGTACCAGGAGATATTGGATGGAAACGTGATGCAGTCCGTCACACACTGAGGCTTGGGAGACGTTGGACCTTTCAACAGGACAATGATCCCAAGCATACCTCCAAGTCCACTAGAGCATGGTTGCAGAGGAAAGGCTGGAACATTTTGGAGTGGCCATCGCAGTCACCAGACTTAAATCCGATTGAGAACCTCTGGTGGGACTTAAAGAAAGCAGTCAGTGCGCAAGCCTAAGAATGTGACTGAACTGGAGGCCTTTGCCCATGAAGAATGGGCGAAGATACCCGTAGATCGCTGCAAGACACTTGTGTCAAGCTATGCTTCACGTTTAAAAGCTGTTATAACTGTAAAAGGATGCTGTACTAAGTACTAAGATTGAATGTCACTTGGGGGTTGAATAAAACTGATAATGCTGTGAGCACAGAAAAGACATTTGTGGTTATTTCATTATAACTGTTATGTTATATTTGTCTGACCTACAAGTGCCTCTTTAATGTAAATGTAAGCAAGATGACTGAATGATCAAAAGCAATGTCAAACTGGCCAAAACACTCAATTTCAGTGGGGGTTGAATAATTTTGGACACAACTGTAAATAGGAAAATACGGTTATTGGCAGTCCTCTCCTCATGCTGACAGCCCGTGAGGAGAGGAGAGCCGGTAAGCGGCATTCCTCAGAGGGGACATGTACACAGATCATCAGTGCCCTCATTATCAGTGTAGCCCCAACAGTGCCACCTGTCAGTGTCCATAATTGCCACCTGTCAGTGCTCAACAATGCCACATACCACTACCCATCAGTGCACATCAATGCCACATATCAGTGATCATCAATGCTAAATATCAGTGCCCATCAGAGCTGCCTTTCAGTGCAAACTATCAGTGCCAGTCAGTGCTGTCTATTAGTGCCAGTCAGTGCCGCCTATCAGAGTCACCTATCACTGCCCATCAGTGCTGCCTAACAGTTCCAATCAGTGCCTGTCAGTGCCACTTATCAGTGCCAATCACTGCCACCTCTCAGTGTCATATATTAATGCTGCCTTTCAGTGCCATCAGTGATGCCTACCAATGCCCACCAGTGATGCCTGTCAATGCCCATCAGTGCTGCCTATCAGTGCCTCCTCATCAGTGTCGCTTATCAGTGCCCATCACTGCAGCCTAGCAGTGCCCATCATTGCAGCCTCATTAGCACACATCAGAAAAGGAGAAAAATTACTTATTTACAAAATTTTATAAGCAGAAACTAAGAAAAAATTTTTTTTTCAAAATGTTTTTTTTAGTTTGTTTAGCAAAAAAAAATAAAAATACCATAATAATACAATAAATACCACCAAAAGAAAGCTCTATATGGCTCAAAAATTATAAAAATGTTGTTTGGGTACAGTGTTGCATGACTGCGCAATTGTCAAAGTGAGGCAGCGCTGGGCAGGAAGGGGGTAAAAGTGCCCAGTAGGCAAGTGGTTAAAGATTAGGTATAATTTCTATCTAGGCTAAATTGTAAGTTATTAGTGCATCTTTTTTGAGCTTTACATGCTTGAACTTCTATATTTGAGTAATTGTATTTGTAGAAGAGTTACAAGTGGGAGCTTTAAGAAGGTTAGTGCAATCACCCTGCCTGTGCCTAAAGAGAACTGTTAAATGCCTCCCCCCTCTCTTGTACATACTGACCTTTCCTTCACTCCTCCCTGCTTGGCTCCACTACTGGAGGTGAGAAAAGGCACCGCTGTGTAAGCTTCTAGTCACTTTAGTTGAAGTTTGCTCAGGGCTGAGGACTCTCCCAACCCCTATGTGACAGCAATGTGCCAATCACCAAGCACCAGTATTGTTACATGGAGAAAGTCACATGCTCCTCCATACTCAAAAGTGCTGGGTATTTCTCTTCACTCTTGGAAGCTGAATAAAGTTGATGGGGAGTAAAAAAAAGGTGAGAAGGTATGGAAGCAAGCGTGTTGATTTTCAGTAGAGAAATAGTTATTGCCTAAATTTTGAGAGTTCCCTTGAGTGGCTAAGG